GCACGACTTTTGAAAGAGCGAAGAAGCGGCGAAGTAAGGGAGGCCATTGCTACAGGCCTTTTGTGTGAAGATGGTGGTAGCAAAATACTTCTGTGGCTGCTATTCAATGCCTTAGGCTTCCATTTCACCATGGTTGTCTTTAAATTTTGTTTCCTGGGACACTAAGGGGGGGGGGTAGTGACACAGGCATGCCAGGTACACGATCCAACCAGAACACTTAGCCCATATGTGCATCAAACAATATCATCCCTCTTTGGCTTTTCAGCATACAGCATGCTGTTTCATTAGCTTGGGTAGGGTTCTCAATTTTAAAAAGCTGGGGTGCTGATTAGGGAGAGGACATATAACTTTGCCTCTGTACCTGCTAAAAGAGGACAGTGAGAACAGCAGTAATGGTTTGGGTCTTGTCCAATTCTCCTCTACTAGTAGCCCAGCTACCTTGTACCTTTAAGGGAAAAGACCAAGGCTTTGCTTGTATCCTTTGTAGGGCGGAAGAATTGTCATTGCTACAGTGGAAGGGACAATAAGGGCTCTGTATGCTAGGGAAACTCTGGGCTGTTGATTTGCAGGCCTCTGTGATAAGCAGCTTGCCTGCTTTGCTGAGCAGATGCGAAGGCTCCCACCCTCTAAGCATTTGAAGGAAAAGAAATATGCACCAGGCAGTGTCAAATATCTATGGCAGAGGATCTATCTCCTCATCTAAAAACTGCTCTGGGAGGAAATGGGAAGGGAGGAGGGGTAGTTTTGTTTTTACAAAAATCGAGCACCAGAGGTGAGGGAAGCAAAGCCTCTGCCTATTTCTTTCTTTAAATATTTATACCTTGCTAAAAATATCAACATGTAATAATTTAAAAGAAAATTGTTATAAGATGGTGTATAGATGGTATATGACACCAAAAAGATAGCAAATATGAGTAGTAATATGTCAAACAAATGTTGGAAATGTAAAAAAATAGAGGGTTCTTTTTACCATATGTGGTGGACTTGTGACAAAGCAAAAAGCTTTTGGACTGAGGTCCATATAGAGATGGAGAAAATTATGAAATGTAAATTTAAGGAGGAGCCTGAAATGCTACTTTTGGGTCTCAAAATGGAAGAAGTCAACATTTATTTATTTATTTATTACTTCGATTTGATATACCGCCTTAACCCCCGTGGGGGTCTCTGGGCGGTTTACATGTGGGGTACTAGTCACATTGAACCCTAACTAAGGCCACATTGATTCTATGGATGGGGCTGCCTACCGGCACCCAGGTGGAGGCTGATGTCTCTTTGGCTCGGCTGTTCTTTTTTTTTTGGCTCCATTCCTGGCAGCTAGATGTTCTTTTCCTGACGCTTAGGCAGTCAGGCGGTCTGATACACAGGTGACGTCCTCCTCCGGTCCGGCTGTGTCCTTCAGGCTCCGCCGCGCCCTTGGATGACGTCGCTGTGCCTCCGCCTCTGCTGACGACAGTCGCCTGTTGTTTCTGCCACTGGCCACCAGGGACCACTCCTTCTGGCTCTGCTGCTACTGCTCGCTGCTGCCTCGACGCCATGCCGCTACTTCCGGTATTCTGCTGCAGCCGATGTCCTGCTGCAGCCGCCGCCGTTGTCGTTGCCTTCCACGCACCTCCGTAGAGGAGGGTGCCCCCTACCCTTCTAAGGGTAGGTTCCCATTTATCTACTCGCCGTCAGTTACTTCAGCTTTCGAAACGCTGGGTGGGTGGGAGCTAGGACTAGGGTCGAGAGCTCACCCCGACCGCGGTGGGACTCGAACAGCCATAGTGGCTGCTCGAGTGTTGTTAAAGCAGGCATTTTACCGCCTGCGCCACCGCTCCTTTGCAAAACGAACTTTAATGTGGTATATGATAACAACTGCTAGAATGACATACGCACAATACTGGAAGCAAGAAAGAACTCCCGGGGTTTGGGAGTGGTTAAGAAAATTACTGTTTATGGTTGAAATGGACAAAATGACAAGAAAGCTGAAAAACCGGGAAGCAGAAGATTTTTTTGCAGACTGGAAAGACTTTAAAGAATACTTAGAGAAATACTGGGACGTTAAAAACAATTTATTTTGCTTGGATAACTATTGAATATAGAAGGACATTAAGGAGAATAGTTAAAAGATATGTTACCTGGAAAATGTTGTTAAAGAAGGAGAAGAAAAAGGGGAAACTATAAGATTTGGGCTGGAGGTTGGAGCACTGCGGGAAGTCAAAAGGGGAGGGTTTTTAGGAGAAAGGGGTATATTATAATGTAAAAGGTGATATATAATATGACTTATTGATATATCCTAATAAAATTGTTTAAAAATATTTATACCCTGATTTTCTCTGTAGTGGGGACCCAAAGCTGCATAGGGCATTGCTCCCCTTGCCTCATATTTATATTCGTAACAACAACCCTGTGAGGTAGGTTAGGCTGAGTGTGTGTGACTGTTCTCCCAGTGCACTTCCATGGGAGAGTAAGGATTTGAATCTAGGCCTCCCAGATCTTAGTCTGATGCTGTAGCCACTACACCACACTGGTGGATTGGACTCACTTGTGTGTATGGTGACATTATCACGTCTACTTAAAGGAAGTCCCACTACTTTTAATGGAGCATTCTCTCTGGTATGTAGGAATTCTTTATATGGGAACAGATTCATTTAAAACAATGGGATTAACTTCTGAGTAAACATGCGTTTAGCCTTTTGTTACTGTTCATGGGGTCAAAGAAGGTCAAAGAAGAAGGGGACAGCAAAGGATGAAGAAGAAGAGATTCAGAGCGGCTTACAAACTCCTTTTCCTTCCCCTCCCCACAACAGACACCCTGTGAGGTAGGTGGGGCTGAGAGAGCTCTGAGAGAAACTGCTCTTTTTCAAGGACAGTCCTTATCAGAACTATGGCTTGCCAAAGGTCATCCAGCCAGGTGCAAGCGGAGGAGTGGGGAATCAAACCCAGTTCTCCCAGATTAGAGTTCGCACACTTAACCACTACACCAAACTGGCTCTCTAGTTAGACAGTGTTATCGATTAGACAGGTTAGACAGTGTTATCGATGCAACGAATATGACATTAAGCAAACTCCGAAGCATGACAGAAGACAGGAGGGCCTGGCGTGATGTGGTCCATGGGGTCACAAAGAGTTGGACTCGGCTGTACGACTGAACAACAACAAAAACGCATGCTTTGTTTAGGTTTTTAGGTGCCCCCACTGACTTCAGACATCAGCATGCATGGATGCCAAGGGAGGAGAAGATTGCTGCTTTTAAATCCCAATTCAGCCAGAAAGCTCATTGAGTGACCTTGGGCTAGTCACTCACAACCCAACTTCCTCACCAGGCTGTTGTCAGTGGGTTGGAAAGGACTCTGCATGAGCTCCTTGGAAGACCAGTGGAAGAATAATAAAACCACAAAATAACTAAAAATGTGAACGCATTCTGATGCGGGTGAATAAAAAAATGAAGGTCAAACCAGTCACACTGGACTCTAAATCAGTGGACTCTAAATATCACAGAATACATTTTATGAGGGAGGGTCTAGCTGACCAAATTCTGAGGAAGGGGTCCCTAGATCCACAGGGCCACAACTAGGCATGGGATTGATCTAACCTGGAGTCTCACCTAACATTAACACATGCACACACACACTCTTTTCAAGCTTTTACATTTGTGACATGAATTTATAAACTGGGAGTTTATTTTTAGTATAGAATTTCTTTTTTTTAAGTGGGTGGGGTGGGGGTGGGGGGTGGGGAAGTGCTCTAACGTCAACCCATCTCCCCTGCTCATTGGCTTCTCCTTGGCTCAGTGTGAATTTTCAGAAGAATCTCCAGGGGCTGTGGTCACACACAGGAAATAATCCACTTTCAATGCACTTTCCAACTGGATTTTTACTGTGTGAACTGGCAAAATCCAATTCGAAAGGGCATTGGAAGTGGATTATTTAGTGTGTGTGACCGCAGCCCTCAGGATTAAACTATTGTGAGGGGGAAACCCCCCCCCCCCTTCAGCTGCCACGCTTATCAGCAGAGGAGGGTGTTTGTGTGTTGAAGGTAACACGAGGTGAGCAGGTCCGCGGGGGAGCCGGGCTCCTCTGTTGGGACAAAACTAAAGAGCCTTGAGGCACTTGAAAGACAAGCTTTTCATAAAAATAAAATCCCAGCATCTACTTTCGTAGACTAAAGAATGATTCTTCAGATGCTGTGAGGAGCCACCAATAATCCACGGAAATTGACGCTGGAACAAAACCGTGTTCCCTTTTCAGGCGTCACAAGACTCCTGTGTTATTTTTGAGGTCCGCAAAGTAGGTTACGCACTTTGAAACCTAGATTCGAGCCCAGAAGCACCTCAGAGACCGACAAGATTCCGGGATACGAACTCTGAGACTCAAGGCTCCCTTCCTCAGATCCGTTCCTCGAGCTTTGACACTCGAAAGCTTATATCCCGAGAACGTCGGTCTCTTTTTAAAAATCTCCTACGTGGCTACCCATACACAGCCGCCTGCATCTGAGGAAAACGTCTGCGTTTTGACTTCCACGGAAGAGCCGTGGGCAAGTGGAGTTCTATACAGGATGAACCCCGTCTCCAAACCCGCTGAAATCCATGGGCTGGGATTTCTCTAGACAGCCCCGCGCTACCAGTCTGTGGCAGGCGGCCCCTCGACTCCTGCTGCTGACGAAGAAACCAGAGTGGGCTGTGCGGGTGGTGTTCCACTTCCCATCCACCTGCATTTCTTCGCAGGGCCCCCACCCCCCAACCCCGAAGACCTCGCCCAACCCTCTCCTGGATCCCGCCCCTCCCCTCCTCTCCGCCATCGGCTGCGTGTGACCTTTCCGAGAGAAAAAGGCGTCGCTGTCGCTTTAAGGGTCCCACCGCTTTCTGCCAGCAGCGCCCTGAGCCGACTCCATCCCCACGCGCAGGCAGCGGCGAAGAGCGAGCAGGCACGCAGCGGCGAAGGCGGCGGCGGCGGCAGCAGCAGCAATAGCAGCGCCGAGGCTTGCCGGCGTGCTGAGACCGCGCCTGGGGGAGTCTCGGCGGCGCCCCCCAGCATGTCCAAGCATCCTTCCTCGTACGGCAAGAACGGGCTAGCGGACCCCATCTTCCAGGTGTCTCGCTTTTCCGCCTGCCGAGCGGGAACCGGCGCTGGCGCGGGGCTCCGGCCCCATCGTCCGAGTCTGGGCGGGCGGGCGGCTTTCCCACAGTTGGGGAGGGGGAGATGCTAGATCGGCTTGGACAGCCAGCGGGCTGCGTGGGTGTGGGGGGGGGGGGATGCTTCAGGGGTCCCGAGGCACGGCCACGCGCAGGAGCCGCTTGAAGCGATCCGATGGCAGCACAACTTCCACCAGTTTCATCCTCCGGCAGGTAAGCGCGCGCGGCGGGGAGGGGGGGGGCTCTCTCCCCGGCGGCGGCGGCGCGCGGCCCCTGAAGCGTGTCAGCCCACGAAAGTGAAGGGCGGAAAGGCAACGTGGTCCTCCGCTGCCGGGGGAGGCTCCGCTCGCCTCGGCGTGCTCCCTCGCGAGCAGGCGCGTCTTGGAATCGGCGACGCGCGTTTTTCTCCCAAAAGGGGGTGTTTTAGCAGCCCTGCAAACCGCGGCGAGCAGAAGGCGCCTTCTGCGAAAGCTCGGAGGGCCGCGCCGAGGCCGCCTTTATGCATTGGGGTTTAGAAGCCCTTTGGTGGACGGAATTTGGTTGGATCGAGTGCCATGGGAATGGCTGGGATCTGGACCGAGGAATGAAAAGAGTATCTTCCAAAAAATCTTGGTTGAGTAGAAAGATGCCAGGTGCAAAAATGCAGGGGGGAAGGCCTTGGTGATCGAGGCACTCCCTTTGGAACTGGAGCACCAGTGTTGCTGAAGTCCAGTTCCCCTGACCACAGGTTGCAATGAAAATCTTTTTTATGGCTTCTGGCAATCCTCAGCTGGATGCGTCCCCATATAGGTTTAGTAGACGGTTCACATGACCTGTTTGTTATGAGCATGAATTTACCAGTTTGCAAATTATGAGTGGTGGAAGAAAAATCTATGCAACTCTTTGCATGTAGGCCAGTAAAGAATTTGGAATAGGAGATTTCACACAGTCCTCCTCCTCTGTTTGGGAGTTGTGCGGGAAACAGTCTGTGTGAATTGCAAAGGAAGTCCAAAAAGTGATGGTGCTGAATGAATCCTAAAGTCAGACTTTAAACTGGGTCAAGGAGTTAGCCCTGGAAAGTGTTTCTCCTGGGAATCAGTTCCAAAACACATTTTCCCTTTATTTATTTGCCCTTCCTTTGCCTCCTGTAGTTTCCTTCTCAGGCCAGATTTTAGACTGTGAGCTCTTTGTCACAGGGACTTTTGTACTCTGTAGAGTGTTGTCCATATTGATGGGACTTTAAAAAATAAACAATGCATATAAGGAGAAAGTACCTCTGAGCAAACACAGAGAGCATTTCCCATGTCACTGAATTGTCACAGGATATACAGAATTAGCTGCAGCCGAGGAACTTGGGCCTAGCAGCCTTGCCTTTAGAAATTACTCATTTCTGACAATACTATCTGACTGGCTTTATAGGTCAAGCTGTGTATCTACAAAAGCAAAAGTTTTTTATTCTGGCTTGGTTGGTGGATTTTGTCTTTCTGGTATAGTGTAGGAAATGGGAGTAAAGTTGAATCGAACACATCTAAAAATTGGCATTTAAATAAATATGCACTAAATCCTGTCTTTAACCTGCTGAATCTCAGAAATGATATTTAGATTAAACTGAAAGTTAGCATAGATTTAGAGGAATGAAGCAAGATAAAAACTTAGCTTTGTGTGTGTGTGGGGGGGGGAGTGTTATTCTCTACAGGAGTAGGTAAGAGTTTTGATGTGTATGTAGGAAGATAAGGAAAAAGGGAAATTACTGAAACCACAACCAGGGAAGACAAATGAGAAACTGGAGCGAAGCCAAGTTTGGGGGGACTTCTGCTTAAATTGGCAACTCTGGGGTTCTGTGTGTTTCTTCTCTTAACTCCTTGTAGCATCTTTTGCCAGTCAGTAGTTTTCAATTGCACTTTTAGCCGCTGCCTCTCTGTATTGTAATCTGCTGTCAAGTGATAGAATGGCTTATATGTCCTGAGCTGAATTAGGTCATATTGGCTCTACAGTGGGCTGATTGTTAGACTTGTGTGCAAGGAGAGTCTTTGTTCTAGGCTTTTGCAGCACATGCCTCTTAGAGCACCTTTACCTGTTCCCGAAATTAATGGGCACATGCCAGTATACTGTGTATAGCAGTGATGTTTCTTATAATGGGTGAGAACTGTACTCTGTGTGCACCCATCAAAGGGATCCAAAGAACCGCAGTTTGTTGTGTGTGCTCAAAGAAGTGTGGGACAGGTTTCTCTTACAGCGATGCTCCATCCTGCATGGCAGACTTCTTTTAAAACTGGAGGGGAGTTGCACAAATAGTTTCTGGTATGTTGTAGGGACTTGCTTTTAAAGGAAGCATCCTGTATAACAGAACACTTGCAGATGTGTAACTTAGCTCTCTGGATCCTAGCCACAATTTTTGACTCTTCTCCATGTAGTCACTGATGTGATTTTTGCGGCATGTTCAGCCTCAGGTTCTTAGGCCTCTCTGTTGTGTATTTTACATTGTGTGAAGGAATACGTTGTCCGGTGATCTTTTTCTGGGGCCTAACTTGCATACTTGCTTGTTTTTATTATAATGCATATGGTCTGATTTGGTCAAAATTAAGCACATTAAATCCTATTGATTTCAATGGAACAGTTCAGTGCATGCTTATTTTTCCTACTGAAATCAATGAAAAGGGCTTCACGTTTTGGCAGGACTCTGTTATGCCATGCTTTTGACAGTTTTTGTTACCTTACCAAGTCTTTTCTTTGTATTGTTCTCCAGTTCTGTAATCCTAGTCTTAATGCATTGTTTACTGGAGGCCCTCGTTGTCAGATTGAATTGCTTTTCATTGTGTTTATTCCGCCTTGAGTCTCAGTGAGGAAGGCGGGCTATAAATGAAGCTGATAATAATAATAATTTTACATATTGGATGGTGTCTGCCTGTGTGTTGTATATATCTTCTTAAATGAGTTGTGGCATGTATGCATAAAGTATTTTATTGGCATCATTTTTTATTGTTAAAGCACAATATGATGGCAGTGTGATTTTCAAATTAACACTGCATTTTTGTGGTGGGGTGGATTTTTATAGCCTGTTTTGAAGCTATGAATTATGCTTGGTGTGTAAGCTGAAGTGGAATGAGTCTGCTGGAGTTTTCTATTGCTGCGTTAAATCAAAATCTTTTTTTTTGTTGTTGTTGCCTGGATTGTTTTCTGGTTAAACTTGAACGGCTAACCTCCCCCGTGTGCTTTGGTCAGGTTCTTTATTTATTTTGGGTACAAGTGAACATATATTTTGCAGTTAGGTCTATAACTCCCCCCACAAGTAGGATTCTACAGCGTTCTTGGTGCTTTATTCAAAGTTCTCTTGTGGTCATGCACGACTTTGAAAGTTTGCCGTTGTTATTTCCCTGAGGGAAAGGTACAGGAATTGTTTTGTTGTGACAGCCCTCTGAAGTAAAATCTAGCAGTCTATGTCCACATTTGTATCCAGAATGAGGGAATGATGTTAAAGTAATTCTAGGAACTGCTGGATCTCTGCCCAGGATCTGGAGATGCAACAATGAGTTATGCTTTTGCTGGCATTGCTCACCTGTCCAGTTTAAGTCCAGCAGCCCTTTGAGAGGGTAGCCATGGCCCCTGGTAGTGTGGAAAGAGGAAAGGAGTGTTTGATTTGTGTGTGTACCATTGCTAATAATATGGTACTCTGTGTACCTGCCGAACCCAGCTGCTGGATGCAGAGTGTCTCCCCTCCAGCAAAATCTCGCATGCTTGGTAAGGCTAATCCTTGTGCAGCACCCTCTTTTCTCAGGCAGAGGAGACCGGCAACTGTCCCGTAACTGATACCACCTCTCTTCCTCTCTTTTTAGTTTTGTGGCATTTAGTTTCTGATCATTTTGGGGGTAGGAGCTGAGGTTCAGTGGTAGTGCCTCTGCTTGGCATGCAGAATGTCCTGGGTTCAATCCACAGCATCTCCAGGTAAAAGGATCAGGTGGCAGGTGATGTGAAAGACCTCAGCCTGATCCTCGGGAGGGCTGCTGCCAGTCTGAATAGACAGCACTGATCTTGGCGGACCTAGGGTCTGATTCAGTATGAGGCAGCTTCACGTTTTCATTTGACTTGCATCTGTCTTCCATTTTTTGCATTTATGATGGTAAAGATCTGTGTTTATACTTTTCCTGCTTTTGATGATAGTTTGGATCCAGCCAGCCTTTGGACTCTTGCCCATTTCCATTCCTTAATACTACTGCCCCCATCCCACAATCCGTGGCACAGCCTGTGTTGTGGACAAAGGGGACCCAGCCTTCTGTTTTCACCAGCAGAATTATCCAGTCGAATCCAAATTATTGTCACTTACCTGGTAATAGAGCAGTGAAATGTAATTTTACATCTGAAAGCCATTTGGAAAATATTGTGAAGGTGATTTCACTTCTGGATTAAGCAGCAGTTTGTTTTATGTTTCAATGATGCCTTCATTTATTGCATAATAAAAACTATATATCATTTTCTTTATTTGGTGGCTCTTCTGTTCTTTGGAGAGTTCTTGAAATACACATGACCATAAAGTTGTACTGAGCTCGGGCTGTTGGCTACACTGATAAATCATGGAGGACTAATAAATTTCAAGAGGCACATGAGCAGGTCAGCTTCGTCTTTGTGTTGGCATTCTGTCGTGGGATCATTGTCACTCCCCAAAACAGAATGACAGCGCTGCCAAGCTGAGCAATTCTTCAGTTTTTTGTTGCTGCTGGGAGAGAAAGAGACATCATTGTCACACAAAAGAAAGAGAGAGGGGGAGACACAGAGAGAGAACATGTAGCTTAATATAACCTTCTGTCCAAGGCAGTTGAACGGTTGCATAAAAAATTAATAAAATGAATCCAGTTTCATCTTGTATTATGGGGGTGTGCCTGTTCAGCAGAGAGGCTGCGGGCATGCCGTGCAGCTGTCAGATGAATCTTTTCAGAGGGCTTATTCAGACAAAATTTGCCTGTAGGCAGTGCCAGCCCAACCCGTAGGCAAACCTAGGCCATCGCCTAGTGCACGCAGGATTTCGAGAGGTGCCTGAAAGCCCTGCAGTGAGGTTTTCATCTCCTTGGGCTCAGCAGCTGCCCTTCCCCTTATACCTCCAGGATGCCACCTGCAGCTGTGTGCCCAGTGGGGCTGGTGGAGGCAAGAAGGAGGGAGAAAGGAGGCACTAGTGTTGCTCCCGTGTCTGCCGGCTGAGCCTGGTGGGGTGAAAGGAGCCTTCTCGGCTGCTGTCACCCTGT